TATCATAAAGCCTGCCATTTGAAATAAATAAATAAATATCCATAACGAACTGGCAACCAATCAATTTGTTCAAAAAATTCCGTTAGCAGTGTAGACTCCATTCATAACCTTCTGTCGTAAATAACGTCGGGCTTTTATGAGTCCCAGCAGCAGATCAATTGCCATCATAAACGGTGTTTACAGCCGCAGCAAATCTAATCAGTTAGGCGGTATTAAAATATTTATGCTTTTACAGACTATTCCTTTAGACCAAATAAATTTTGTTAAATCAGTTATGAACTTCAGATGAATTTATTGATTTTCGAAGCTTGCCCTTCACACAGTCGATGCCACTTTCAACTATAGGTATAGGTTCACCCAAGAATAGCCTTCTATAATGATCCTGAATTATTTATAGGCCGCAGGGCACAAAAGTAGACAATGTTCCTGGTAAGCCTCGATCTTTCGTAATAACGTAATTTGAAAACTAAAGCAGTTTTACATAATGCTAAAAACAAGCATACAAGCAAGTATACTGGAAGAAATGGCGTAAATATTGTTCTTATACGATCCACTCTAAATGTTGCTTGATGAACAAGCTATATTTAACCAAAGATATTTAAAACAATTTACCTTGTTCAAATGTTTCTTGTTCATTGAAGCACAATATGTTATGGTGGCATCAAGTAAACAATAATGTACTAAATGCGTTGAACAATAAAAATACCAAATCGGAAGTGAACTTGATGCTCCGCCTGCTGACTGAGTATACAATTAATAACTTATCGTAGATGAGATAGGTAGAAAAAAGTGACCACATTATTCTGACAGCAAACAAATTCGGGCCCAGTTCCATAATAACCCGTTATACAGGCCTCAGAATTTGGTGCTTTCATAGCAATCTAGCCTAAAGGGATTCGATTTGGATATCACACGTTGTTTCAAGTTTTATCTTTGATGCAGATATCAGTCAATTGCATTTTGTTACTCCCATGATCTCCGTAACTTCAGTAGTTGAGAGATACTTTCAACTCGATTTCTTCCATTTCAATCCCACTGTCTAGTATAACTCCACAATTGGAATCCAACTCAGTTGACATCTTTATTACATTCTGTAGTTAGCAAGATTAATAAACATGGGGGTGCGCGATAGACCTACCTCCACGTGATGCACCTGGGCAACGTATATTCATACGGCAAAAAAGTCTATTAACCGGCAGCTGACTTCTCACTTCGAATTACCATGACCCCACTGGATACCATATTCTACCACTTCCACAGTAATCATCCTACCTTTTCTCTGCCTTTGTGTCTATCCCTTTTACAACTGTAAACCACTCTTCTGTTCCCCATCCCTCGACTTTCTGTCTACTTTGATGTTCCTTCCCTCTGTGAAGCCCGAAGTCAGCTAAAGGGCTAATGATAACTATCAAAACGCCTGCCATTTAATATAAATAAATAAATAAAAATAGATTAAGAAACATGGTAATATATGTGCAGCAATCAAATAGTTATAGTTATAATTTCTACCGACACTCAATTGAGTACTTTCGAAATTCGTGAGAAATCATTTTGGACGAACTTCTTGCATTCTCTGTTTAGTAATCACCACTACTAACAAGAACACAATAGCAACTTAGATTGCAGTGAGAGGTTCTGATTGTGGTCTCTTGTAAACTGAATACTTGTCCTGCAACCAATTGAAACAATGAACTGCAGACTATTTGCCAAACTCTAGTCCAAGTGAGTTTGAATGTTGAAATGTTCATTTACTTGGTTCCTGTTAATATTTCTAAAATTCCACTTGCTCATTTGGCAAGTATGTTCCTTCAATGTAGCAGGTTACTCGATAATCTCGTTGTTGGACATGCCAATCACATCTATTGTTGACAAACTTGTGAACAGAAACAGTTTACGTGTAGTACATTTAAGCAAACTGAGTGAATGCTAGCTTCGGTGTTGGGCTAACTTGTTATGTGAAGTAACATAATATTTGTCGTGCATTGATTTGCACGTTGTGAGTAGGTAAATATCAAGTGAGTCCATTTGGCCCTCCCAGTCATTGGAAGGAATTATAAGTGAAGGTGATCAGTTTGGTCACTCTGATTCAAGATTGATCAATAAGAAGAGTTATTTTCTAAACTCCAGGCGAGTAACCATGTGACTCAAATTTTATGACGTGAATATCACATTCAATGGACGTTATACAGTTGTTTTCCGAAAGTTCAACCATCCAAATAAGCACATATATCCTTGAAGAAAAAGGTGCCCAACTGCAAGCATTTATTTGATATCATCGCGACAAATTATTCACTTGTACAATCATCTTTTTAGCTTCTTATCCACTCAAGTATCAAACACCTCCCGTATGCAACATTGAGTTCGAGTATTTGACTCGATCAATTTGCCACATCTTAACAGCCGATTTTCAAATTTGCCAGTCAAAGAACCTCTCCTTATCACCATTTCATTATTCACGCTAAGTTCTGTTCAACTGTCTCTAAACTCATGTGGCGGAAAATTTGGAGTAGTCGATAAAGAAAATAATTTTGGAGAGGAATCTCCACATGATTGACTGACTGTTTGTGCAAATAATTTAGATGTCTATGGAACCAGATACTTCTTTGGATGAAACTGCTGCATTGAATAATGCTCTACTGGGTAATTTCACTTTCCATTCTGAAACTGCCTTTTGTGACACCATGAATAAGTAGGACGACAACTGAATTCCTTTGACAGTCAAGTAGATTCAATCATAGAATTCATTCTCATCAATTCCAAGGCAGTGGATAGAAGGCTCTTGTTAAATACAATTTAAAGCAAAGACTACCGTTCCAAAGCGCTACTATGTTCGTCCCAGTTGTGAAATTGTAGAAACTTGGGGTGCGAGATAGACTCACCTCCACATGATGCACCCTGTGCAACGTATATTCATAGGGCAAAAAAGTCTATTACTCGGTATTTGACATTAATTTATTATGATTTGCTTGGAGAGAAGCTATAAGAGAAATCGCCCCCGTCACGGCGAATCACCACTTCTACAGATCCTTCAGTGGAATGCTGAAGGGATGCAACAGGACAAGAAGATCCAAATTCAGAAAAACCTACTTACCTATGATATGGACATATTCACAATCATGGAAGCCAACCTTACGGATGACAAACTCAAATGCTTCCGATTCCCAGATTACATCTCATACCTTCTACCTAAATACCGGCAAGTTGCAAGTGGAATTCTGAGTGGAATAAAAGAAGACCTCACATTACATTACGATCTAATCAAGAGTATGGACTCGAGGCAAGACATATGTGAAATAATCAGATTAAACGTTTGGAAATGTCAAAAACACTTCAAGATATACGCAGTATATAATCAACCCCAGAATAGTCCGAACTTTAATTTTCTGAACATCTCACACAAAACTGTAGTATTAGGAGACCTCAACGCCCATTCCACCAGATGGGGCTACAAGGATACAAACATAGCTGGAAAGGAAATCGAAGACATGCTAAACAGTAACCCTCTAGAACTTATTTATAGCAATGAGGATCCTGCTACATATTTGCACTACAATGGAACCAGAACAACTCCTGACTTGCTCCTGGCTTCAAGGTACATCAGCGAGCATACACACCGCAAAATAATTGACGATCCCGGTTATGGCCACAAACCAGTCATTGCTAGTATTACCATCGGCAGCAAAAGCATCACAACAAAAGTGCCAACTAAGCTATCATGGAACTTCAAGAAGGCCGACTGATCTAGATACACAAACCTTTTAGAGAATGAACTTCATTCAAGTCCCCTCAACTTCAACCAACATCCTGACACACTTTGCTACGATATCACGAATATTATGATCAGATGTGCAAAGAAAACTATTCCCCGTGGTGTTTTGGTCTGAACACCTTGAGGAACTGAAAAGAAAGCGGGATGCCCTTTGCAACACTGCTGATCAGACTAGAAGAACGGAACGTGTACTAGCCTGTATACGACAGTTAGTTGTCTTAAGGCTCAACCCTTAACACTACTTACAAGATGCTTATTCAGCCAATAATGTTGTATTTCTGTGAGCCGCTCATTACAGCCACAGAGGGGACTCCCAAACCACTCGAGAAGGCACATGACCAAGTATTACGACTAATTACTGGAGGGATAAAATCAAAACCCACTGATGCAATGCTCCTGGTTGCAGGAAGAACCACAATATGTTCCCTTATCAAAGAGAAGTCCTTGATCCTGTATGGGAAGCTACTGACCATTCCCACGGATAAATTCTTCTGCAAATATGAGAATAGACCAAGACATCTGAAAGCGCAATCTGGTCTAATAAAGAAAGCCATAGAACTGAAGAAAGCATTACAAATCGATGACAAACCAAAAAGCCTCTCTCTACCCATGAACCCATTAGAATACACTGATGTAGTGTGTTGCAACCAACTGCTTGACTTCTTTAGGAAATCAAACACTCCTCCTAAACAAATGCTCTCACTGTCACTTGAGACAATCAATGTCAACTATCCTGGAGATCAATGGCTCCAAGTCTTCACTGATGGGTCATACACAGAAAACCAAGCAAACGTTGGTGCAGGTGTCTATTCTGAACTCTTCTCTTTCTACGCAGCAGCGGGACATAATAGATCCGCTTTTGAAGGAGAAATAGAGGCCATTAGGATAGCACTACGCCAATTATGTTGCTTGGATACGAAATTCACCAAAGCGGTGATGCTTTCGGACTCACAGTCAGCAATAAACTCAATTGGAAACAGAGAGCCACCCAAAACAGCTGAGATAAAGGAATGTAGAAAACTCTATGAGCTGCTGAGAGAGAAAAACAAAACAGTGGTCCTACAATGGATTCCTGGTCACTGTGGCATTAAAGACAATGGGCTTGCTGACACACTTGCTAAGAAGGGGACAAAGATTCTGCAATGCATGGACCGCCCGATGTCTTTCCACACAATGAAAACTTTAACCAGGAGAGAATTCATGACCTCAAGGTGCAATGGACTTAAAGTTCGAACAAAGGGGAAACAGTGGACAGTGGCACTTACCGACATATCCGACTGGCCAAGAATCGAAGCCGTTGCTGAGTTTAGACTACGTACCGGACACGGTTACCAAGAATCGAAGCCGTTGCTGAGTTTAGACTAGACTGGCCAAGAATCGAAGCCGTTGCTGAGTTTAGAGTGGCACTCTACCACATAGCCGAATGGCCAAGAATCGAAGCCGTTGCTGAGTTTAGACTTTGGCCAAGAATCGAAGCCGTTGCTGAGTTTAGACTACGTACCGTGACACGGTTACCAAGAATCGAAGCCGTTGCTGAGTTTAGACTACTTGGCCAAGAATCGAAGCCGTTGCTGAGTTTAGACTACGTACTAGAGAAACAGTGGACAGTGGCACTCTCCGACATACCCGACTAGCCAAGAATCGAAGCCATTGCTGAGTTTAGACTACGTACCTGACACGGTTACCAAGAATCGAAGCCGTTGCTGAGTTTAGACTACCATGGCCAAGAATGGAATCTGTTGCTGAGTTTAGACTACGTAGTTGGCCAAGAATCGAAGCCGTTGCTGAGTTTAGACTACGTACCGGACGGATTGCCTGGCAAAACACCTTCAAAGATTGGGAGTATACACTCAACCATCAAAACACCTTCACAGATTGAGAGTATACACTCAACCCACATATACTCTATGTAACCTACAGGAGGAAATGGAGAAGTCCCACCTGTCTATGTGACCTACAGGAGGAAACGGAGAAGACCCACCCCTATGTAATCTACAGGAGCAAATGGAGAAGACCCACCTGATTAGGTGTCCAGCCCCAAAGAAAGCCAGAGATACTGGGAAGCAAGAAGACAGCTAATGAACTGCTATTAGCTAACTTCTATATATGTACCCCCCACCCATGGGCTGTGTTAATAACCGCTATAAATGTACCCCCCCCCCCTCTTGGGGAAGCTGAAGTCAAAGATTAAGGCTATAAATGTACCCCCCCCCCCACCCTTGGGGGAAGATGAAGTCAAAGTTTTTCCGCTATTTTAACCGCTATAAATGTACCCCCCCCCCCTCTTGGGGAAGCTGAAGTCAAAGATTAAGTCTATAAATGTACCCACCCTTGAGGGAAGCTGAAGTCAAAGTTTAAGGGCTAGTAAATATCATAAAGCCTGCCATTTGAAATAAATTTTTTTATATAAATACCATAAAGCCTGCCATTTGAAATAATAATAATAATAATGTTAATACTAGTTGAAAGAGAGGTTAAAAGTATCCCTTTCACACTGTAAGCACTCTCGGTTGCCACCCCTCCACCTCAATGAGGGCTAAAATACTTTCCTTATATACTCTTAAATTCCATTCTAGTTTTAATGGTGAGTGGAAGGATAATAATATATGAGAAGGTCTACAATAGGAAATGTCGCTTCTGTTCTCATGAGTGTATGTCGTGTATTGCTCACTCAACAGTAGAATATGGAGAAGTAGATGCACAAAGGTGGAATGGGATCTGATTGAGATTCTGTTTCAATTCACCCAACCGTCAAGAACTTCTCGGTGGTGGAAAGGCAGTCTCCTCAGTACGCTCATTGTTGTCACCACTTATCGGTTTTTCTACATGATAATTGGCATCTTCAAAGGCTTTCTTGCACATACACGCATTGTCTGAAATGAATCACCAAATTTTGTTAACATAAGGTATTTCATCTTCATCACTTTCTTTCAGTTTTCACTGTGAAAGTGACATATTCATTCTCAAAATTTGTTGAATTGATACTATATGCTTCATTGCTGAGTATTCTCTTTGAAATTTGAGTACGGAGGTGATATTTTTGTAGACTAAATAATAACATTCGTTGTCAGTAATCTGTTCTACTTTGATTTAACTATCAATTTTGATGGCCTCTAAATCATACTTAGTCTATTGTATTTTCATTGAACTATTCTTCCAACATCTGACTTACCTAGAAGATGTTACTTAGATGATGGCCGAATACGAGTATGGGGATGGGTGATGTACTGAATGTGTCAATCGGTAATTACTTTCACACGTCCAATTGGCTCTATTGTCTGTTTGACAGACTGAGTCTAGACAACTTGTTCGACCAACTAATAGGCAACGACACACTTAGGCAACGAAGTGAAATCTTCCATTCTTTTTTGGTACAATGCCACATTTTTAAATCGTCATACTTTGACAAAGAAATTGCTATATAAATATGCAATATGTATTTGGAAATTTTACGAAGCCTTAAGCTTGCCAACCACTTAAAATTTCGAACGATACTTGGCAGAATCTCTATTAAAACCAAAACTGGACATTTTTTGAATACGGGAAATAAAGGAAATAAAGATGCCACTTATTTGAATTCGCAAAGTTCTACGAATAAGATTTATTATCTTCTGCGTGTGCTTATTTAATTACTGTTTCTCTAAGCTCTAGCAGGAAATATGGTCTTGTATTTATCAAAATAACAGTCGGTCAATTCATTATTTTAGGGGGGTTCATAGGCAGTTTTTTTTACCATAAGCTGATGGACATTAATTTTTAAATATTCTGCAAATTTTATCTTCTTAACCATATAGGTAAGCATTTTAAATGAGATTGGCTTGTGGAAGCTGATAGTCTATTTAATCGCGGCAATTAATTAAGACGCAAGACTCGTTACCATGTCGAAATAATGAGGAAGATAAAGCTAAAGTGTCAGCCTCGCCAAAATTACATTTTGGTGATGAAGTTTCGGGTCAGTGTCACACTGCCACAATAAACGCTCTTCGCTCAGTACGCCCTGTTTCTTCGATAGGGTTGAGGTGGGTTGCCTAATTTCGAGAGCAATTTCATACTAGGGTGGTTTTGCCATAGAGATTGGTGAGTTTTACTGAAGGCTTACTTGCGTTGGAATTCACTACACAATTAATACAAATTGCCAGGCAGTTAACGTGCTTGAGAAAATGATGAACTCTGAGTTGCCTCGAAAGGGGAGATTACAAATCGACAATCAAGATTCTCCAACGTAATTGCTTGAAGACCGTTCGGTTAGAAGGAAAAGGTTGAGCATTTGCTATCCTCAAAACCATGTAAGTTGATTTAAGTTAATAATTTGTAGAAATTTTTTGGGGAAACTCATCATTGACACCTGAAGTAAATTACCCTGATATCAAGTTGCTACGAGTTTGTTTTGTATTGCTTTGATTTATTCGTTTTAATATTATATTCCCGGTATATAAACAAATACCTATTTGTGCAATAGTTGGTTATAATAACGGCCATTTAGCAATCAATATCTTTTCATATGTTATAAGCGGTTAATTTACCAAATTATCGGCATCCTCATTTAGGGCGAATCTTGAATTTGTTTCACACTGCATTAGAAAGAAATCGAACTCTTTCAGGAAATAACACAAATTAGAGCAATAAGACCTTTATTTGCTATTTTTCATTTGAAATTAAAAATAGAACTGAATGAATTTAGTGATATGCATTTCTTTCAACCTTTACTTTGGTAATGTGCGATTCAATAGCGGATTGCTACACGTAAAGCCTTGACCGACTCAGGAATCTCTATGGTAGTATCTCCTATATCTGGCTAGGCTTCATGAACTAGGTAAGCTACAGCGAAGTTAGAATGGTGAGAGACGTATTGCACAGAACACGTTTGTTGCAAATTGTGATATCGGCAAAAGCGAATAGCTATTAAGTATATCTAGGATAATTTTAAGTGAACATTAATATTGGGTTGGCAACTAAGTCATTGCCGCTTTTGTTGA